ACCCCCTTTAATAAGCAGTACTTTTTGTAAGAATAACACAATCTGTTGACTTTTTTTTTTTTTTACTTTTCTCTCAAAAGATCCAATTACTGATTAATAATTCTAAAATAAAAGTTTCAACTACTTTTTCTGGAAATGTAATAAAATAGACTTAAAGCGGATCTCAAACTAGGGTGAGCATAACTTTTGTAATTACAGGCAGTATATTAAACACAGTGTAATTGGTATGAATTTCACTGACTTTAGTGCCAGGAAAGTGAGGTTTGGGTCTTTTCCTGATATGAACCAGGTTTCCACTATAAAATGGTGGATGATCATTATAAGATCTGCCTGTGATGTTTCAACTAAGCACTATTAGTAATTTATATTGCAATGTTTAAGATCTTAGGAAAAAGTCTGTCATTCTTAAAAGGGGATTTTGTCAGAATATATGAATCCTAGCCCAGTGATTCTTGTAACAGCATTTTTTTCATGTACAAAAAAAACAGAATGATACCTAGATTTTCTGTGCTTCTCCCATTGAATGCTTTTTTTATAATGCCTGTTGACTCACCATAGTCAAAGTGACCTTTGAGTTCATCTGTCGCACTGAACAAACAAAACAGACTCTTTCAATTACCTGTAGTTTAAACATTATGCAAACCTAAAATATACAGTATAAATGACACTAAAGGGCCCCAAAGAATTCATAGACTATAACAGTCGTTTCATTGACCAGCATGTCTGCTATTCATAGATGAAGTGGTATACCTTGAAACCTGACATCTGAAGCAAGACGTATAGAGTGAGTAAGCGTGAGACATAGAGGGTAAAATAAAATCAACATTTAACACTGTGCTAGATTTCCATTCATCTACACTGAAGTTCCAAGTCCATCAGTTTTGCCATTGCTCCATCGCTCGGAGGCTGAACAGCAGGCCGATTGTGTTGGGTCTCTCTTAATAGGGAAGCTGTTCCAGAGGCGGCTACAGCAAGTGCTAGTTAACATCTGAGGTTGCCTCAGTGAGCCAAGCGTCACTTTTGCTATTGCTCTTACTTAGTGGTTTGAACAAACCATTGACCCTTAAAATTATACTTTGGATAATATTGAAGTTGTATCTAGAGACCAGAATATCACAGAAACTTGAGGGCCTTAGCAGCCAAATAACAACACCCTGTTGCTTAATGGTTTTCACAGACAGAAAATTAAAAAAAAAATGGATTTGAGCAATATGTCGAATACAATCTATTACCTGTAACATGAGAACAGTGAAGTAATTTGTGGTAATTCCTTGTAAACTTGAAAAGAAACCACTGGCTCCACAGTTGGCTTGAATTCATAAAGCAAGATCTACATGAGGAACGAAGGCATGTCGTAATGAAGTTTAATATTTGTTCTGCTTATGATGCTAGATCTTTAAGTCAGAGGATCATGAACCGAGATTCCCTAATCTCAACAAAACCACAAAGCCTCCTGGGAACTACTGCATATTGTTTTGGATATCCATGTAGCATTTTTTTTCCTTTAGGTTTTTTTTGTTATTATTATTATTTATTTTTAGAGAAACACATATGCTTGACTGACTGGATCAGTGGCAAAATGTGTCACACGGCTGCTGAAAAGATCCAAACATGTCTAAAAGCTCTCCTGAGGTGTGCTGGGACGCAGTCAGCCTTCCTCACTGTGATTAATTAGCCTGACAAGCATGTGTGAAGTGATCAGTGCCTGCCAATCTGGACTCTAATGATATAACCCAGAACGCTACAATGCAGATAAGACTGAACCTGACATGATAAATGCTCAGTTATTTTTGCACAGTCCCACAGCTGACCATCCTCAAAGCTCTCAATGACTATAACTAGACTGTTAACACAACTTTAAGCATTGCCAAACATCCATATTTGGCTACATGTTTACTTTTTGTGTGAATCAAATACAATCCAACATTGCTGCCATATTTGTAATTTTTTACTTGTATAATCATTTTATTTAAATTGTTATATACACCAACTTTATAGTAAAATTTACAAGGTTGTTTTGTTATCTAGTTCTGTGTTTTTATGTCTGTTAGCAATTAGCTAGTATCTGTTCGCCACATTTTCTGCTACTGCTCTCTGGTACAGATCAAATCAAAGTTTTGAATTACCACAAACAAATTGTCAAACTGAACATTGCCTCCATATAAATCAACATTGCCTTTTGTATAATTTATAAATCTTTCATATGGTGTCAATGTTTTAAATTGTTCATTTCTGTCAGGACCACTATCGTCAAAGATGATTGACAATTGTTCCAATAACAACCAGATAGCTCTGGGACAACAGTGTTCCTGACAATACAACTATAACTTAACAAGCATGTTTCCAATACGACTAGACAGAACAAGCGTGTCTGATACCGGAACAGAATCAACGCTGAACTGACGGCTGCATATGAACTGGAAAATGCTGCCTTCGGAGGACACATTTCAAGGTAAGAAGCCATCGAGACATGTCGAATACTAACGTGACCTGCCAGAACTAACGCTACACTTGATATTTAGCATAATCAAGGTCTGTTGAATAAATCTTTGTTTAGCTTTCTGTTAGCATAGCATCTGTTAACTACTGTTTTATGCTACAGCTCTCATTTGTGATGAAAGCTATTAAATACAGCCGTTAAAGGGGTCATATGATGCTTTTTTAAAGATCATTATTTTGTGTATTTGGTGTAACAGAATATGTTGACATGCTTTAATGTTCAAAAAACACATTATTTTTCAAATACTGTACATTATTGTAGGTCCTATATGCCCCGCCTCTCTCAAACGCTTCGTTTTCTACAAAGCCCCCTCCTT